TGATCTCTGCCGGGAGTTTACGTGCCTTCAAACCATCTGATCACATCTGTACCAGCCTCTTTCTCTTTAAGAGTAGAATTTGACAGCCTTTCTTCCCAGCTCTCCTCTGGGACTCAAAAGGAAGACCCAGACCCTGTCTCTCCTCTGGGTTCTGGCTCAGTGTCTGTGTTTAAAGCAACTCATTTGAGTTTTTCATCTGTTCCTTGTTGCTTTCCTGAGAGCTATCTCCCACCTTGGCCTCTCTCTGAATATACCTTTTCTCCTCTGTCTTGGAAGCTCCCCTTCCTCAGACCAACGTGTTCCATTCTTTCACTGTCTGTTGCCATAGGAATCTCCTTTTAGTGATTAAAACCAATTATTAGGCTGGCTAAAGCAATTCCTTACAGCCTGTTTTGCTGCCAAACACTTGATTATAGTCAATGTAGCCTACATCAGGCCTTGTGGCACCTCTTAGCTTGCCGTAGGAGTTCCTATGCTATTACACTTCACATCATTAGCCAAAAAGGCCAAGAAGCAACTCTACCCCCCTTATTCCTGGCCTATCTCCCTCTTCAGTCCCATAATTCTTAGGCAGAAGCAGAGTTGGCCGAACCAAAGCCTTGTCTTTCAAAGTCCTCCTTGTCACACACAGGGAGGTGGAATGTGCAACATACAGTGCAAAGCCTCTCAGATCCATTCCTGGCTTCTCCCCTGACCCATTATGTGACCTTGAGCAAATGTATTTAAATTTAGCAGTCATTTCAAATCACTTTTGGTACTTCTGTGCCAAGTGTAACTCATCTATAAAACTAATATTATGGCTAACATTTTCAAAGGAGTTTAAGAAACTTAATGCAAATATTCCAGTCTAAGTATTAGTTTCGGGCTAACTTCAGTAGGCTGCTTTGCAGTTACCAACTTCAAACATTATACTATTATTATTATTATTTATTCTTCACGCAAATTGTCAGGAATTGGCATTCTCCTTATCCATGTAAGCATTATTCTTATATAGTGAACTTACCTACAAGGTGCTCAGAAGTACTAAGACATAATTATAAAAGCATTCTTTCTCATAAGATATGTAGCTTCATCAACTGAAAAAAAACCCCCAAAAAACAGTGGAAAGATCTCAAGGCAAACATCCAAATATTGAAGCAAAAATAGCTTCAATTAGACAAATTAGTATTTATTGATCTTTTGGTTTTTTGCGACACATTCTGCCACTTTTACTTAGACTGAACAGGGCCTCACAAGGGAAAAACAAGTAGTTTTCCTGAGTGTCTCTGCTGGTCAGGTTTCTAAACACTATTATGCACATCGGTGGACTGTCCACATTATCCATTTCTGGTTACTTCAAGCACCCTACCTTAGGGAGTTTGAGCTATTCCCTTGAAGCTACTTCTCTCTACTGCGTATGCGAGTGTCACGTCCTACCTTTGAACCCTTGGATTGCACTAAGATGGATGTCTAAATCAGTACAAATACATCTACTATGGTGAGATATTATTATTCTAAAATGATTTTTCAGTTATTCTGAAAAAATTAAATTAACTAAGTTCCAAGCATACATGCTTTTACCAAAGGGTTAGTTCATTGCTGGATTAATATCTATGCCGCTTATTGAATTAAGTGACCTTCCTTCAGTATGGCTGAAGATAGTCTGGAAGCTTTTGACTGAAATCAAAGATTTAAACAGAGCTTTTGACAAAGTGCCCAGCAAATGGGAAAGGAAAGCCCGGGGCTTTGGTGAATGAAACTGATAAATTAAAACTGTCTCCAGTGGGTGACACTCTTGTACATGGGTGTGTATGTGCTAGATTTAGGGCTAGAATTTTCTGTTGCTAGAAATTATGGAATATAAAAGAAGGAATTAAGCAGCATATGATTCAGAAGGAACTTACGGAGTCTCCACTTATTTAAAAATGTTATGATAGGAGTAATGAAGTATAAAAAGCAGAGACATAACATCTCAAAATTTTTGCTCCCAAAGTAAGCAGGGAAATCCAGCAAGACATGCGTAGACATGGCATTTATTAGTGATGCCTACTTCTCTCTTTATTTTTGATGGCTGCTGGTGCTCACGGGGCGGGGACTCAGGAAATGTGATTGTGAAGAGCGTGGTAAAAAGGTGATCACAGATTACATTATCCAACCACAGCAAAGTTATTCCATTGTGAATAAGCAAACTGGTATTTCACTTCCTTGTGGTATATTGTACTGTGGTGTGGCACCATCTAAAATCAAGTTTCAGTTCTACATGTTCTACTCGTACTGCAGAAAAATCACCTTTGCCTAAGAACAGAATTCATAGATGGTTTTCCTCCAGTTCTGTCATTTATGAAAGCAAGAGGAGCTTGTCAGAATCTTTTTTTCTAATGTACCAGATATGAAACATATAATATTCAGTCAGTGAACTCATGGTGCAGAAGTTAGTGACAATAACATGATGATAACTGCCTGTGCTAGCCACTTGCAGCATTAGCACTAGACAGATATGTTATCCTCATGTCTCCTTTCACAGGGTCCTACACTGTTAGGAATATTTTGGCATTGTCCATGGGGTAGGAAAAGGACAAATTTCGGTATAAAAAGAAAGACACTGCTTCCTGATAGCACCAACTTGCACCTACATGATAGACAGCCAATGTTCCTTTGTCCATGTAAGCATTGTGGACAGAGGCATAAATTATGTTTGGGAATCTCTTTTTTCACTTGGAAGCAGCAGCACAGTAAAAAGCCACTACCCTGTGCTTTTAGAAAAAAATAACTTTTTAATTATTTTTAACAGCTACATTTATTTTGAATCTGTTATACAAATGAAATGATCCAGATATTACAGTAACGAATGCCACAAAAACCTTTCCTATGAGATATGTAATAAAAAACTAAGTTATATAGCAAAGCTAGTGTATACCATAGCACATTTGTTAGAATCCAGTTTTGTGAATGAGCAAAATGCTGCCTTTCAACATTTTCTGTGTCACAAATACTGGAATAGAAATAAAGCAATCTGTGGTCATTTCCCTTTAGTGGTGTTGGTGCAGTGTCTGGTTTCAACAGACGCTCACTTGATCGGACACCCACTATATCCTATACTCTGTGGCACTCTCAAACACAAAGCAGGCAGTGCTGGCACTGGCAATTCACCGAAATATGAAAATGCTCAATCGTTCAAATACAAGGGATTTGTCAGGAGCAGCAAGGCTTGAAATTCAATGCTTACAAGTAAATATTTTCGTCTGACATGTATTGCCTAGCCCAGAGGGCAGCCCACTGTGCTTGGCGCGATGGAAGAAAGGGTCCTTGTGCCAGGTTGCTTGACAAAGATATTTTGGACCATTCTGGACTATGAGAAGTCAACAGAGAAGTGGTAGCGTCCTCACTGCAGCCTGGTTTGAGGAGGTTAGTACAATCTGGAATAGCACTTAGCTCTCAGGTGTGGGTATAATCATACGCCTGCTGCCTGGAGGTAGGTAGGCACCATGCTGGAACGGGGCAGCCATACTGCTGCCCCTTGAACTTCAAAAGCGGTCCTTTTTTCCTCTCTAGATACCAGAAATATTTGCTTTATTTTATTTGCATTTAAACCACTGTCAGTATGTACAGAATAAACAGAAATTTGCTGCTAAGCTTTTTGCTAATAAAGTCTTGCAATTCTTTATATACCACAAGCCATTCTAATTTTTAAAAGGTATTACCAGTATGTTTCATGTTTTGTGAAATCAAGGTGTTGAGTTTTTCTGCAAGTAATAAAAAGCCCCGTTGATTTTGACATTTGTCTCTCAACACCTGTATGGGCTTTGTCCAATGCATATTATGGAAGTTTTAATTTATGTTTCTTGTTGCTAATCTGGAAAGGAAAACTTCTTCATTGTTTCCTTTTTCAGTCACAAATGTACAGGTTTAGGCAACAAAGAACTCTTTCATTTTAATATTGTGCTGATGTTATAACGTAGCAAGTCATTTGTTATTTTAATGATGATTTTCTACAATTAAAGTACCTTCGTGAAAAAAAATGGAACTGCATATATAGATATAGGTATATAGATATAGCAAAAAAATGTCCTTGCCATTGAAGACCAATAGCAAAAAAAATGTGCGTAGGAAATGCACTGGAACACACTTCCCTGTGACTTCCACTACTTAGAGAAATAGGATTAAACTTGCTTCAAGAGACTTTGACTCCCAGATAAACTCTGAGTTCTTTGATGTCATAGAAAATGCCAAGGTAGGAGGTCTTTCTCAAAGTTCAAATAAAACCCCGTTGGACTGTGAACTGTGAGTGAGCAAAGAAGTTTTTAGATGCACTTCCAACCTGCTTCTAGCTTTTAGTATGAATATATAGTAGGGTTCAGAAACAATCTGTTGTAAATTCTTCAGCCAATTAGCTGAGTGAGTTACCACCGTTTATAATGCGCAGAACGTGGAGGCTCTTTTGCAGTTGCGCCGAGTTGGATTGTTAATAACAGGAAGCTAGCACTTCTCAGTACAGTGGATCAGCTACATGTGAAAATAAATGTAAAAAACCTGGAGGGGAATGGCAGCAGACTGAGATTAGCCTTTATTTAATTTAGCATTTGGGGGTCCAACACACAAATGAGCGTTTTAGTAGGCTTCATGGTGGAAGTTGCTGTCATTTGTAAAATATTCTGGCCAATTAGCTAATAGTGTGCTTGGATTTCTCCTGTTTTGATACAGTAATACTAAGTACATTGTGAAGCCCAATTATACAAATCATCCCCATATGCCATACCAGTCTTTCTTTATGAACTGTGTTTATAAATCCTGTGTGAGGAAATGTGTACTTCAGCAATTTAGACCATGTGTAAAAACATAGCCAATAGGATTGTCAAGAAAACAAGTTCCAGCATAGGAAATCCTAATGTGTTCCGCTAAAATAACACGAGTGTGTTGTGTTGTGTGAGTTTTCTGATTAAATACATATTACTTTATAGTGCTTAACCTGCATAGGTCCTTCCATTTCCCTTTTTATTCTTTCTTTCTCTCTTTTTTTGCAGGATCCAAATTTGGAGTTTTTGAGGAAATTTGGAATTGGGCTAGTCTCAGGAACAATAGCCTCAATTATTAACATTCCTTTTGATGTTGCAAAAAGTAGGATTCAAGGACCACAGCCAGTTCCTGGAGAGATCAAGTACAGAACCTGTTTTAAAACTATGGCAACAGTCTATAAAGAGGAAGGGTAAAACATTCTTATTTTAATAAATGTCCAGACCTCTGTTTTAGTTCATATGGGTCCATAAAACCATGTTGTTATATTTCAGATTTGACGAGGACCATTAAGCCACCCTGAACACACGTATCAAAAGAGCACAATGTAACATTTTGAAAATGTATTTTAGAATTACAAGGAGATATCCTCATACTCCATGTGAACTTTTACAAAAGACTTACGAGATGATTATTGGGTTGTCAAAATTTATGTTCCATAAATAAATGCTTCATATATCTCATGTAATTTTTTCAACTCTTCATTTTGTAAAAGGAAAATATCAACAGAAAACAGAGTATTTCCCAGTTTAATCTAATTGTAATTATAGAGACCTCTGTACCTTTAAAATGACTGCTGAAATAATTAAACTGGGGACAGGTCGTTGTGGCAATAACGTTTTCCAACTTTTAAAAATATTTCTCAAGTGGGGACTGTGTTGTAGCTTTGATATTCAATTATAGCAGTCATTTTGTCCATGTATGCAGCTGTTGTTAACAGACTTGTCTTGAAAGTAAAACCATCTCACTGATTAAAGTCATATTTCTGATTGGCTAGGCTCACAACGTAGCTTTTGTGACTGAACATTGATTAACTTTTTCTCTTCATCTGATCTGCCTCTGTAAAATGTTAAAATCCAGATACTGCCTGCTATTGAACATGTGTAATTTCAAATAATTGCTTCTAAGTGCTCTGCCAGCATTTTAACAAACACATGCTAAAATTCCATTCTTCTTTTAGAGCAAGAATATTGTTTGAAATGTTTTGTTTGTTTTTCTTCTGCTACAGATTTCTGGCTCTGTACAAAGGCTTGGTTCCCAAGATCATGAGGCTTGGTCCAGGTAATTTTCCCACTGTCATTTCTGTATTGCTTTTATTCTTGCTTTCTCTTCCTGTTTTTCAGTTTCTTGAAAAAATGCAGTAAGCATCAGTCAAATAAATGAAACAGTGTACCAGAAATCATCGAAATCACTTTCATCTTTGAATTATTTTGTTTGATAATAGCATCATCTAATAGTATTACAGCTGGATTTGGCTAAATATGTGTCTAAAAAAATAATTTACACGTACACATGAGATGATTGCAGATCCAAGTAACTGCTGGTTTGTGCAACTACTTTATTTGTGAACAAGCCAAATGCATCCATGCAAATGCCAGAACTGTAATGCCTTTGGAAGTGTTTCTTAAAGCTTGTCCCATTCCTTCTAATGTGATTTTTTTTGTTTCGCTAAGACTATTCTAGTGTCACGTTAAAATGCTGGTTAGAGTCTCTCCAGTATAAATGCTCTCAACTAGTCGAAGCATAGCCCAAGCATATCAAATTCCAGTTACTTTCTTCTTCCTGTGCTCTGCGGGGGCTGTAAGGAACAGGCACTAAGAGACTGATAGCATGAGCTGGGAAGAGACTTGCATGGCCCTAGAAGGCTAAGAGGACAAGGATAGCTTAAAACTGGGTTTGTTGATTGACCCCTTCTCACTAGTTACTCCAAACGCAGGAGCACAGTAGTTGAGAGCTAGATCTTCTACTTTTAGACTATTTTTCCCTGACTGGTTTTGATTAATCACAAAAGCAACGCATTGGGCCCTTAGACTTTCCCAGCCCACAGAGGCAGTTTCTGTCAAAAAGAGCAGAAGCCCCAATTTGAACAGTATCCCATTCCCGTGAAATTGTATTCCAATTGTGCAAGGTGGTTTAATAGGCAAGAACACACATGGTTAAAAGCAAGTAGGTACAGAGTCTGTTCTGCAGTATAAAGGAGGCAGTAGGTTTGTCTGTAAATGTTTGCATATCCAATCCGTCTGGTTAAGTGCTAGACCATGCCTGGTTATTGTGCAGGGTAAAGCAAGAAGGTGGGGAGGGGAAACAAGGCAGCTAGGCATAAGTCTGGAGCTAAAAGCCTTTTCCCTCATACTCCAAAGATACTAGATTACATACAGGACAAAGAGAAGGCAGGGTTTCTCTTCCCCAGTACCCGTTAGCACAGCAGATTTTGGAATAAAATTTTCCATCTTACAAATGACTATGCGTTCTGGCCCAGATCCAGCAAGGCAGTTAAGTGTGCACTTCATTTTAAACACTTTTGTAGTCCCATTGACTAATATATAGATTTGGCTTGCCGATGAAACAATAATGCAATCTTTATTGTGACTGGAAAGGTAATTCCTTCTTTCAACATGTGAATGCTTTCAGGAAAAGAGATAATACACAAACAGATCACACAGTATGAGAATTGGAATCAGCCTTGATCTGAGTTCAAATCGCATCTTAGACATTGTGTCTATGATTTGTTTGCTGGTCAAAGCCTTTTGCAAACTTTTGCTCTGGTTAGCTGTCTATGAGTTGCTGTTCATAGAGGTTGTCAAGTCTGATGATGGTTCATTGGGATAAATAACATGGGAAAACTCATGTGGTAGTTCTGTGTGCCTGGTTGTCTGAGCCTACCCCATCTACCTAGAAAGGTCAGCCGAGTTCAGCAGAAGACTTGTTTGTTAGAGGTGCCACGCTAACCCGCTAACTGAGCCAACAGGCAAAGGCAAAGGAAAGAAAATATTTGTGCCCCAGTGCTGGCACCCACAAGTAGCACATTGTAACACGCTTTTACTCCTGCAGCCTGGAATCTGATTCTCTTTCCCCATCTTCTCTAACTAGAAGCTTCTCTATATGCTTAGTTATATATATATACCTTCTGAAACGTTCCCTTCTTTAGCTCATATAGTAATTACAGCCCGGTTACAGAAGGGCTTTAGTCTGGCTTCACTAACAGTAAAGATACTTTATGGCATTCAGGCTGGGATTTTATACCGTTATCAGTTCTAGCAGACAATGCCCTTTCATCAGATCAAACCTTTGCCTGTGGATTCATAGCCCGGTACAGGCACAGGAAGATTATACTCATTTCAGCACTGTGATCTTCTGCTTTAGACATGGTAAACAAACAGCTGAAAACCTTTCTTGAATCTTATCTGGAAGCGTTTTCATCACCCTGATGGTGAGTTTTTGCCATTCCACCACTCAAGTTGCTCTTTCATGGCCAAATTTGACTCTAAACAAACACACAAATACACACATATTCAGATTAAAAGCTTCCCTTGTAAAAAAACAAAAAAAAAAATTAACCTTGAAAAAATGTTAGGAAAAATCACACTGAGGGTGATTTTGATGTAATAGACAAGCTTTTCACATCAACCTTATGGTCTAATATTAAGTAAAATTGGTATGGTTTAAGAATAGGCAAATTTTTAATGAATTAGGGAATTAGTAGAATTATCCATTTTGCAAATAAGGCTTTGCCATATCCTGGTTTATAGTACACACTACAAATGCTCTACAAAATTTTGAAAACACTGAATTTTTTATGTAGTAAAATACTATCTTTTCTTCCAGGTGGTGCAGTGATGCTTTTGGTTTATGAATACGTTTATGCATGGCTTCAGGACACAGTTGATCGCAAGTAGCGCTTCTGAAAAATGTACCTTTTAAAATTATATACATTCTAAAATACACTTTAATAAAGTGAAAGTGATTCTCATCCTTTATGGTATTGAATGCCCTCAGATTACACTGATGATGTTAATACAGTTCAAAACAAATTTGGTCTTCAGGTCCTGATCCAAGAAAACATTTAAGCGCATGCTTTTCTGTAAGTGCATAAGTAAATAGCACAGTTGATATTTGTAATTGTTTGACTGGATCAAGAGAAAATATAAAGGAGACATAGGAACAAGTTAGTTTGTCAAGGACAAACTGAAAATTTTGGACACTGAATTATACTATGTAGTCAATACGTAGCTTTTTTAAAAAATTTCAGCTGAAATGGCAAGATAATAAATTTTAGGAGATTTTGAAGAAGAAAATTGAATAATCCTGTGGGGCCAGATACTAAGCTAGTGTAAACTGACAGCTGCATTGACTGCAGGTTAAGAACATGACTCATACGCTGCAAAATCTTGCGTCAATCTTGGGTCCAGTTTCAATTCGCTCCAGTACAATTTCAACATTGATAGAAGAGCTTCTTACGTTGTTGGGAGTTAGGATAGAAAAAGGACAGCACGACTAGCCACAACCTTAAAAACACACATACTGTTAAATGGCCTATTTATTCTTAGCCATATATATCGTATAAATCTCACTCAGGTCACAGAAGATACTGGAAATAATTAGTCTGAATCAAATTACATAGAAGTGCAAAACAACTGTGGGAATCATAGAAGAAATGAGTAAATAAATGAACAGAAAAAAACACTTTTAGGCATACGAGATTTTACTGTGAATTTTTTATCCACCTTCATATACGATTGCTTAAAGAGCTGTCCTGTCATAAAAATGCTCAATGCACCTTTACTGCCCCTTTAGCCTTTCATTACCACCGTGGAATGGAGAAACGATGTTCCAGACTGATAGCACATATGCAGTCGTAATTAGCTAGCCATACACCTCAAAGAAATCCACCTTTCTATAGATAAAAAATGTTGCTCTGAAGCTAAAATCATTTCTTCTCCCAGTCGTAAATATAAATATTTCAGTGTACGATAGTTCAGTTCAGGACTTTACTATAGCCATTCTAACTAGCTCTGTGAAATATGACAATTTCTGCTATGCTAATTGAAGACATAGTTTCAGTTCATGCAGTTGTCCCACTCTACAGTTTCTTTTCAAGAACTCTTTCAATATCTTAAAATTACACATTATTCTGTTATTAAAATGTTCCCATTACCTAAACTTGGTTTGTTGTCAAATGAATGCATATCTTGCAGTTGCTCAAAGCTCCTGTATTACCCCACACTACATTCACACTGTTAACTTTAAATGTTCTTCCTCCTAAGGAGGTACAAACCTTTTTCCCAGCAATCCTAAAGAAGTATCTTTCCAGATTTTTACTTGAAAATGACAGTTCACATGTGAAGTCTCGTTTCACGAGTGTTTTTAATGCATTAGAAAAGCAACAAAAAGCTAAAAATAGAAATGCATTCTCAGCGCTTTCAAGGATGCTTGTACTGACATGCTCAATAAACCTCTCTTTTGTCTAAATTTGACAACAGCGACTTCTCATACCTATGCTACTTCATCGCTAAAATCAATAAAATTCGCTCTGTTACAGTTTATGATTTTAAGGCAAATGTTCCTCATTGTTGCATTTCATTATCAGTATTTAGCCAAAGAGAAGACACTACTAAGATAATTTTGAAAATTAAAAGCAAAATGCTTTATAATTAGTCTTTTATTAATTTAGAGCATTCAAAATATAAAAATAAAAGGCTTTAAACATACTGTATATACATATATAGCCTTCGGTTTTACATCCTTTCCAACATGATTTTTTTTCAGTTAATAGCTCAGCCTGATCTTTGATAAAAAGAGAACCATAAGAAAGCAGAAAACACGGCATTGTTTTAGAAAACAAACCCATGAACGTGCCAGCCCAATCCCCCATCACTCCTGCTGTAATATGGGGTCTGATTCAGTTTTACACTGGAGGTCCTCTGTACCGGGACCATGCAAACACAGTGGGGCTGTCATAGAAGGGAGTATTAGGCTTCGCTGATTTCTCTGAAAACATTTGACACTCTAGGAATGGAGTGTAAACTTTTCAGATTAAAAACTTAAATTCTGCACTCACATATACTGCATATTTCCCAAATTAATCCATTCACCTCAGTGGGTTCACTCCAGATTTATACCCCTGTACCTGACAGCAGCAGTTGACCCTTGTTTATTATTTAAAAAAAAAAAACAAAAACAATTCCCTTTTCCTCCTTTGTTTATTGTAAAGGGGCTTAAAGTTGTGTGGCCAATAAGCTAACGTTGTGGTTTTCCATTTACCCGTGAGTATAAGCAGGAAAAAAAGTCCTTGGGCAAAGGAGTATTTAAAATTGTAGGTTTACATTTAAAAAAAAAATAATTGTTATGAAAATTCACACAAAAAAAAGGCCATCACAGGCAGTTCACGAAGGGCCAAGGTCAGGTACCTTTGCTCACTTTGAGCAACACTTTCTGCACACAGCTCCACTGACCTTCCACTCGAGGGTGAGGTATTATATACAGCAGACAGATGCGCAAAGAGCTGTACCTAACAAAAATGGTTCGTGATGGTGTATTCCTACGCAAGGAATAATTGACACCATGTCTTGTCCTTGCTTTATAAATTATCCCAATTTAGCTGAAGACAAGATAATGCAAACAACTCATACAAGCTAAGGATCTGTCTCTCTAAGGAATTCCCAAAACACACTAATGCCTCATGAGGATCTCAGAAAAGACAACTTTTATTCCAGAAATGACCTCTTGTTGCTCAGGAAAATTTTGAAAACTTTTAACATAGGCACACTTTGTTACTGGCTTGTGAATTCTTGGAGCTCAAAAAGCTGTGCTACGGAAGGTTTCTCTTCTTTTTTTTCTGGGTTTTTTTTCCTTTGATGTACCTTGTTTGTGCTGTATGGGTAACAATAGGCAGACTTACTCAATAATTCTATAATCCAGTAAAAACAATTAGGCTAAAAGCGAAAATCCTTTTGCCATCTTAATCATTTATTGACTCAAGAGCTTTTTCTTATCTTTTTTTTTTTCTCCATTTTATTTTTAGTGAAGAGCTTGTCTAGAATTAAACCAATTTCTTTTTCATGGTGTTAAGGCTCATCTTATTTCAGCTACAACTGCATAAAGGCAGAATAACGTCCATCGGATCACCAACTATCGCAGCATGGAAATGGACTCGTGTACACGTTACCTTTAGTAGTTTCAGAGAAACATTCTTTAAAAAGTGTTCTACTGAATAACAAGGGTTTCAGCATCTCAATAAAGCTAAACAGCTGTCAAATGCCCTTGCTGTACTGAGGCTGAAGTATACAGGATCACTTCTGAGATCAGATGTTTCTTTCCTTAGGGCCATAATACCTATGTTCTTTATAGAAATAGAGTTCAGTTCACTATTTTTTAATGCAAAAAGCAAAAGTGGCAGCAGCCAGTCGAGTCCATCTATATTTCAGTGGATATACTGTACGCAACCTTTGTACTGATTACTTAGATTATTATGAAAATTTACCCACAGCTGTCTTGGTGATGAAAGCTGGAAATCTACAAAGAGAGGTCTGTATTTTAAGAGAGAACTGTATTTCACCTTCCCACTGAATGAATGTTTAATATGGTATGCAGATAGAGCAATATTGGAAGAATGAAGTTTTCTCCTCTGCTTTAACTAGCTCTAGTGTAATTTAAGTTATTGCACGACATTTATAAAAATACACAATATATTAATATTCTATGAAGGATATGAAATGTCACACCAGGCTTAATTTTTTTTTCCGTATTCATATTCTGAACATACCTACAGCATGTGGAAAGCATTCTGGAATAACAGTCAGAACTTTATTATTGCCCAAGGAAAATAAGAAGATTTTCAAAGATCAGAACGTTAGCTCTCTTGGGATTAAAGTTTAAAGCAAAATAACTGGCACAGAGTAGTTGCCACCGGATACAGAAATGTAGAAAGGGAATTTGTTAATATTAAATAATATCTGTGTTTGTAGCACCACCACCAGTATACCTATAAGGGAAAAAAATGCTTCAGAACAACAATGTAAACTTTACCAAGAGCCATATTTTACATTCGTTAAAGCAGAAATTAAAGGCAACTTCCTCTTAAAAAAATTACAACATAGTCTTGGGACCGAAAATACTGGACACAAATGAGCTGACAATGACGGTACAATTCTGTTTTGCAGTGGGTTTGTTGACTGACATGGCTTTGTAAGCATCTCTGCACAGGTTGCACACTAACAGCATTTTCCTCTACAGTTTTCAGTTTCGTTCAGGTATTTTCCACCCATTTCTGTTTGTCTACTTAACATGGATGTGGTATTTCACGAATCTGGGAGGCTGGCTATAGCTGGGGAGAGTTACTTGGATCTTCTGCGAAAGAAATAACTGTATTTCATGAGATGTTGAAGCCTCCACTGTAAGAACAAAAACACGATGAAAAAAACCTTACCCAAACCTCATCACCTGAGGCTATCACCCCACCACGCAAAGACACAGAAAATAGCAAGAAAGTCATCTTTTTATCTTAAAAAAAAAAAAAAAGTAGAAATAAATGTGCTGGAAGGTGAAAACAAATGCTGTCAAAAGCCTATATTTACAAATGGATAAAAACACAAAGGTATTACTACTGCCTGACGATGGTGACATGCCAGAAAAATCTGAGAGCCGCATATTGCCTTGGTTCTATATTTGATTACCAAAACCCAACAAAACAACCAAAACGTGATGTCTCAATAGCAATGGATTGTATAACCTCATCGATGAAAGGGTTGTTCTCTCCGCAGTCGGCAAACCCCTCCATTTAGCCACCTTTGCTGATTCGAGGCATAGCAGAATTTTCTGTGGTGATTTTTCTTTATTGATTTTTTACACGAATCTTAATAACAATTGCACATTTAGAAAGTCTGTGATGATTAAGAATAAATACGTGTGGTTTGACCAGGAGAGTGGGACAAGGCTCCACGAGCCCTTTGAGGGATGCAAGGTCTTTACTTA